TACTATCTCTTTAAACATGTTTCTAAGCATGTACAAAAGAGTATAAAGCTTGTTTTGAGAATGTGCTTGAAAACTATTATAAATCGTTAAGCCTGAGCTAACACATATTAATAAAATTTTTCAAGAAAGCATAGACATATTTCAACACAAAGTTCCGACAACTGCTTTAATTAACAGAAATTATATTGTTCCCAAAGATACCATAACACTGCAGGGAAAACAAACACTAAGGAAAGAGTGGGTAATTAAGCTGCCTCACTGATTAATGTCTACAGTTCTGGACAAAGGAAAATGCGTTGTTCAATTGGCATGGAAAATTAGACCACTGTTGAGTGGTGGTTTAATTATCTTTATAGTATTAATCCCTGTCTTTAGTATTAGACTATAAAACAGATAAGCATGTGGCTTCAACTGATTACTTTCAGAATCTAAAGAATATTTAAGCAGAAATATCTTACAATCTTTATTTCCAGAAAAACAGTAGGATGAAAACATTCAGAATATTACTGAAAAGGTAATAAAATATTAGACTGTCAGCTACCCTTCACATGGTGGTGGTGATTATCAGTAGGACATGTCAGTACTCAACAGAATCAAAGCCAACAGACTTGATCCAATTAATGCCTAGACCTGTCATCTGAAGAAATTGCAACCCAAAGATGTTAAATGATTATTTCAAGGTCACACATCTAAGTACTTATAAAACAGACCATATCCTTGGTTTCCTGACTCCTAGGAGTCTAATATCACTCTTTCCTTTATACCACACTGCATACTATGAGGTCATTTTTCTAACTGATAGCCCACATTCTGAGAACCTTAGTTGCTTCCTATGTGACTGAGTTACTGCTCATTCTGGTGTGAAAAAGAATTGAAATTAGAGAAACTCTAGTTTAAAAAAAGAAAAAGAAAAAAAAAAAAAAAGAAACCCTCCCCACTCCAACAAACAAACAAACAGAGAAACACTACTAAGAAGTAGTTGCCGATTTACTTCCAGTATTTCAAATCCATTTTGAGAGCATTTATATATAGAGGATCATAATCTTAACTATGTTAACCTCAAAGTTTGTCCAAGTAAAACAAAGTAATGTCTGGTAACAATAGGTAATGTCTGGGCCACTACTAATGATAATGAATCAAAAAGTATGATCTATTTTCTTATTTATGATTGAGGAGTACAGCTGTGTTCCAGACATTCAAATCAGAGGCAGCTGAAAATCCAGCATTCATTATACTGGCTCATATGTAAAAATTAATGGTATTTCCTTACCATGAAACATTACTTACATGTCCCCAAACATGGGCAAACCATTATCTCAGGAAGACCATTTAGGCATTTAATTTAGTAATATAAGAATATCTACTTTTTACTCTACAAGGTCCAAAACACATAAAACAATGCCCACCACACAGTATGCACTCAGTAATTATTTGTAAAATGAATTATAGAAAGAGATCTCTTTTCAACCTGCCCCAAATTAGAAATTCCCTACATTATAATGTTTTGTTTAGTGTCACAAATAAATAATTTCTTATCACTATGAGGGAAGAGTCTAAGCCTTAAAAAACAGGATTCATCTCCAAACATTTTCCGTTTCAAAACCCATGCCAGGCTAACAGAGACATTTTTTTTTTTAATTTTTTTTTTAACGTTTATTTATTTTTGAGACAGAGAGAGACAGAGCATGAATGGGGGAGGGTCAGAGAGAGGGAGACACAGAATCTGAAACAGGCTCCAGGCTCTGAGCTGTCAGCACAGAGCCCAACGCGGGGCTCGAACTCACGGACCGCGAGATCGTGACCCGAGCCGAAGTTGGCCGCCTAACCGACTGAGCCACCCAGGTGCCCCTAACAGAGACATTTTTAAAGGAAAATTCTCATCTGTACTTGTCATTAAGTATCTACAAATTTTCCTCACAAAGATTTCCAAATGCAATGCCAGTAGTCTTTGAAAATCTGTCATAAGGTCTTTCTTATGCAAATATACTAAACAGGTTAACAAAAATTTGGCTTTGCCTTGTCATAAACCTCATTTAATTAAAATAATATAGTATTAACCTTACACATTTCATCAATGATTTATTTCTAAAGATACAGTGAAACATAAAAGCCTAAGTGTTTTCGTGCTTCTTAGTAGTGTTTCTCTAAAATACAGAAACAGAAGCTGAAATAATTTCTAAACTTGATGCCTTGATTTTTTAATGTGTGTTGGTCTTCCAGAGAATTACCATTTTCTGGCAGATAAACCCCTTCCTACCTGCAAGAACAAAGGATATCTTCACACAAGGACAGTAGACAACAGCTTTTAAAATGTTTTGGACTTTTTTCATTTAAATTTTATCTTTTCAGATAAGTAATAGAGTCACAAGGCAATGTAGATTTATTTTGATAAACAAAAGTATATCCAATCTGTTAAGTCTCTAAACTAAGCCATAATAGACCAAGCTCAAATACTTAACATACATAGTTTGTAGATCAGGGTTTTAAAATGGGTCCTGGCATTAACAATGGCAATAACAGATAAAAGCCCTGGGGCATCTGGGTGGCTCAGTCAATGCTGCATAGGACTTTGGCTCAGGTCACCATCTCAGGGTTTGTGGGTTCGAACCCCGCCTCGGGCTCTGTGCTGATAGCTGAGCCTGGAGCCTGCTTCAGATTCTGTGCCTCTCTCTCTGACCTTCCCTTGCTCATGCTGTCTCTGTCTCTGTCTCAAAAATAAACATTAAAAAAGAAAAGAAAATTAAAAGCCCTTACTTTTATGCTCCCTGTAACTGTTTTCTTATCTATAAATAAGGTGGGTAGATGAGATCATCCCTAAGGATGATTCTGTAAGAATTTTACTCATTGGACCAGGCTTTTAAATTAAATTAATAATTGTAAGACTAGAAACTGGCAGTGCCTGACTTTCACAACTAAACTATAATAAAAACATGTTATTTTAAAATGTTTGTATTCATTATAAACATTTTTTACTAGACCATTGAAAGAATCTGAATTTTTAAGACCTTATATTTAGATGTTACAGTATGAGATGGTTTTTTAATTTTTCTTTAATAGCAACATACCTGTAGGTTGAGTAGAGGAATAAATTACACCTCTCCGTTTTCAAAAGTTACATTACAAAGACTAGGTTACAAAACTTTTATAGATACTTTCTGTTAATGAATTATTAAAAGTTAACCATCATAATAATTTACCTTAGATTAAAGTGCACAAATATGTATTTCCCAAAACAAAGAATAGGTTTTTTTCATTTTCCTGGTTTTATTAAATACAGAGAAAAGAGGCACAGGAAAAGATAGAGGGAGAGAGGGAGAGACAGAGAGACAGACGGAGGGAAGGAAGGAGAGGTAAAAAGGCAGACTTTTACTACACCTTGAAAATTCTCACTTAATTAATAAACCAAAAGAAAAAAAATTGGAAAAGATACTAGAAACAAGTATGAGAAGTCATTTCTGTGTTATGCGCAGAAAAAAAAAGTGCATATCTTATAATTTTCTCACTGAGTTAAAGTATTTGTTTTACATTTTCATCTTTCATTTAAAAAGCTTTAAAATATTCACCAAGCAACTGTGTTTAATTCATAAATTAGAAAAAAACTTAAGCCATAATTCTGAAAGTTATGTTAATAATTTTAAGATACTACGTTTGAAATAATTTTTTTTTAATTTTTTTCAACGTTTTTTATTTATTTTTGGGACAGAGAGAGACAGAGCATGAACGGGGGAGAGGCAGAGAGAGAGGGAGACACAGAATCGGAAACAGGCTCCAGGCTCTGAGCCATCAGCCCAGAGCCCGACGCGGGGCTCGAACTCACGGACCGTGAGATCGTGACCAGGCTGAAGTCGGACGCTTAACCGACTGCGCCACCCAGGCGCCCCTGAAATAATTTTTAAAACAACTATTTAATCTTCTTATATTGAAACCCTCAGAGGACTGAAACGTAATCTGCTCAAACTGAAAGATCTTAAAGAGCCAGAGTTCAAGTGACTTCCCTAGGTCTCATGTTTCTGTGTTCTTTCCACAACAGCATGAATGGAATTTACAAATCAGCAAAACAAAATAAATTAGCAAATTTAAGCATTTTATCACCAAATCTAGTAGGAAATTATTCATTAGTGATTAAAATGTAGCCATGGGAGTTCATGGAGTCTGCAAAAATAAAGGCTGCCAAGTTAAAGACTTGTCTTATTGCATAAGCCATTAAAAAAGTAAAATTTAATATGAAAGAATATAAACCTTCCCTCTAATCACTGTAGTAGTCCTTTATAACTCCTCCTTCCTCTTCTCAAAATATTGAAACATTAAGAATCATTTTCTATTAGAATAATGTAATACTATGGGGAAAAATGAAAACTAGGTTTATATAAAAGTTACCCATAAGAAATATCTTAGTAAACATAAACTGACCATTTCCTTGAATCACAGTGAATAAGATGCACTATTAGTGAGCCTAATAACCAACTCAAGCTTTGTAGATGATAAATCTAAAACTATGAATATACATTAATACATACTTTGACCAAAAAACAGCTTAATAAAAACTATGTAATACGCACAAATGCTAAATACCTTTCAGGTATCATATCAAGCTAAGAAAACTCCCTCAGAAAATTATACTTGCTTTAAAAGAATGAAGTTCCCATTTCACATGGTAGCATTTTATAATAAAAACTGATCCAATGTTTCAGGATTCAAAGTTTTTATTTATTTTGTTACAATCCTTTTTGTTAAAAAGAGTTAAAATAGAAAATCTTTTTCTTGTTGGCATCTTAAAAAGTATGAAAAAAACTGATAAAAGTCAAGAAACATAAAAAATGAACTATCCAATTCTTTCACCAATGACTTTTTTAATAAAAGCTTTGTAAAGGAAGAAGGGCTGAACAAAACGTACATTCTATATAGGTCAGTGAGAGTGCAGACTTGCAACCCAATTAACTCAGGGTCTGTTTCAGTTTTGAAAAGACCATAAGCTTTAAAAAGAAAAAAAAAAAAAATACAGGCCGCTTGAATTTTTATAAGCAAAAATAAAATACTGAAAAGAGACATCTTCATGAACCAAAAACAAGATGAAGAAGAGTATTGCTCAAAATATTGCATAAGGCTATTGTAGGATTTATTTTGCTATCCCTCGAAAAACTACAGAAGCTTCCTACTTTCCACTAGTACTTGCAACATATTCTCAGGGTTTCTATCTTGAGGCATATCCTGAGCAGACTTGGAAGGATTTTCCAAAATTGTTAAAATAACTTTTAATAGACACATCAGTTTGTACCCTCAAGTTCATTTTGCCATTTAGATTTGCTTCAACCAGCACTTGATCACCCAAGTTTGCTAGCCTTTCTATAGTGCTCTTCAGAGTCTTCAAAGCAGGAAGATAAACACTAACATCATGGGCTTGCACACTGGGCTCCAGGAAATCTTCCAACACCACTCTGGGAAGCAACCTCACAGGCGATCAATCGACTGTGTACCACAACAAGAGTCCAACCTGTGGGCAATGGCAGCTCCACAGCCACGGCGAGGTGGGGGAGCCACTTATTGGTCAACTGGGGCTTCAGGGCAGAGGCATTCCCTGTGCTTCTCACCTGTCTGAACAAATGCTCAGATAGCAGCTCTAAATAAATCTCATTAAACTCCTCTGAAACATCTTTCATGTGAAACCAGTGGAAGAAGTCTCCCGCCTCACCTCACACCACACTCTAGCATCACAGATGACCCTGCAGTCATCAGGCCTGAAGCACACTTGTGCTGGCACATGTGGAGCACACAGACTCTCTCCAGCTTTGATACGGTGCTGCAGATGTGAATAAAGAGCTCCATAAAGTCTTTGCCAGAAATGCTGGCACAAAACTTCATGATGCCATGAGGATGGCATCCAGAGCTTGGTCAGCAGGGGACGACCCCACATGTAGCAAGTCCCAACAGAGCCAATACTCGGGTTCCACTCACCTGCAGGCCCCCTGAGAAGGGCAACAAGGCATGGCAGACATGGGGTCCCTAAAACCAAGGCCTCTATTCCCATCTTCATCTTCCCTCTACCTCCTCCCTTAAAAAGAGCTTTACTGTTTCCACTCTGCTAATTAAAAGGACAGGCATTCCACCACAGAAACTTCTAAATATTCTTTCTAAACTGTACAAAGAAAATTGAAATCATCTTTCACAGAGCCACATTTCACTCTGTTGGTATATGCATTAATACTGTCTTCATCAACCAGGACATATATGTACATACAGTTACATGTGCTTTCTAAAACTGTAGCATGCTTAGGCATACATTTGCAACTGATTTTTATAAACTATAAGATGGACATCTTTCCTCACTGGCAAATATAAATCTACATCATTTTCAGGCTGCTTAGTATTCCATTGTAGTGATGTATAATCAAAGTGACAATTTCCAATTTTTTGCTATGATGAATATGACAATGAACATTTTTCTATAAAACTTTTTGCACATTTATCCAATTATTTCCCTACAGTACATTCAAAGACGAATTACCAGTCAAAAGTTGTGCATTTAAGATCCTAACATGTACATATTACCAAACTGGCCTGCAGAAAAGCTTTATCAACACACCCTTCCACCAGGGACACTTGGTAGTAGCAATCTGTTTAATCTGTAGCAATTTGATAGGCAAAGTAAAATAAATGCTCTCAACCTGCATTGTGGGTGAATTCCATTTTAATGATCATTGCAACTTTTTATTAGGTTTATTTTCCTTGATTTTAAGACCTCTAGTAACATTAACTCTCTGTCCACTTTATACACTGTGAATATCTTTCTCAGTTTATCCTTTGTCTTTTCACATTGTTTATGGTGCTCTTTGCTCGTAGGAAATTGAGTCTTTTTTAATGTCAAACCTATTAACCTTTTCTTTGCTACTTCTAGAATCATGCTTTCAAAGTCATGTTTCTGGTACTTTAATGTTGTTTTATCTTCTTAATTACCTAACTCATTTGGAATCTACTTTGCAGTATTAAATAGCTAGTTGACCAAATACCATTTCACTGAACAATCCATTGTTTTCTCCACTAGTCTGAAATGCCACTTTTATTAATGACAAAAATCCTCATTTGAGACTATTTCTAGACCTTCTATATTTTGTCCCACTGATGTATTTTGTAACTATAACATAGTTATTTTAATGAAATATTCAATAGGACAAATAATCTTTAACAAGTTATCTTTACCATCCTGTCACAGGTATTGATCCAGATGAACTTTAAAATATTGTGTAAGATTCTAAAAATAACCCTACTAAAATTTTGATGGGATTATCATGACCCTGACATACTATATTCCTGATTCTTTTATTTACCTCTACTAACCAGACTGTAAGTCCCAGAAGAAAAGGGTTGTTTATATTTCCATACACTGCTACACACCCAGCATTTAGAACATCCACCTGGATATCACTGACACTCAACACATATTTGTTAAATGAACAAATATATCAATTACATTGACTATCTAGATAATCTCAGGACATTTAAACTATCTACAATACTGAATCTTCCCACACATTCAAATCATTTATAACTGTCAATAAACTGTTCAGCTCTGTTCACAGAGAAGCCCATGTAATTTATCTTGAAGCCAGGCAACTTACTGAGCACTGAGTCTCCCTCAATTGAAATCATTTTCCAAATGATCTTTTCCTTAATGTTTTCTCTACAGAAAATCTTATTACCTTCAAATCCTATCATAACTTGGACATTTGCTCTTCAATATTTATGTCTCACTTATTTTAATTGCCTGACTGCTTTTGTTATATAACTTCCAAAACAATGCTAAATAACTCCATTACTGGGGTGGCTGGGTGGCTCAGTCAGTTAAGCGTCCGACTTTGGCTCTGGTCATAATCTCACAGCTCGTGAGTTTGAGCCAAACGTTGGGCTCTGTGCTGACAGATGAGCCTGGAGCCTGCTTCAGATTCTGTGTCTCCCTCTCTCTCTGCCCTCCCCCACCCCTCCACTCATGCTCTCTCTCTCTCTTTCTGAAAAATAAAAAACATTAAAAATTTTTTTTAAATAACTCCAGTATTAGCAAGTATCTTTGTCTTACTTCTCAGTAAAGAGACTTTTTAGGTTTTATCCTCATTGCCCCCCAAAATTTTAATATCATAAATACACCACACTTATGTACTTTATGCATAAAAATTAAGATCTTTTTTTGTCCCCTCATGGGCTAATTTTCAATTACAGTTCCTGTTGAGAATACATGCTCTATATCCAAAATCTATAAAGAACTCACCAAACTCCACACCCGAAAAACAAATAATCCAGTGAAGAAATGGGCAGAAGTCATGAATAGACACTTTTCTAAAGAAGACATCCAGATGGCCAACAGACACATGAAAAGATTCCCAGCATCACTCCTCATCAGGGAAATACAAATCAAAACCACACCCAGATACCGCCTCACGCCGGTCAGAGTGGCCAAAATGAGTAAATCAGGAGACTATAGATGCTGGCGAGGATGTAGAGAAACGGAACCCTCTTGCACTGTTGGTGGGAATGCAAACTGGTGCAGCCATTCTGGAAAACAGTGTGGAGGTTCCTCAAAAATTAAAAACAGATCTATCCTATGACCCAGCAATAACACTGCTAGGAATTTACCCAAGGGATATAGGAGTGCTGATGCACAGGAGCACTTGTACCCCAATGTTTATAGCAGCACTTTCAACAATAGCCAAATTATGGAAAGAGCCTAAATGTCCACCAACTGATGAATGGATAAAGAAGATGTGGTTTATATACACAATGGAATATTACTTGGCAATGAGAAAGAATGAAATATGGCCTTTTGTAGCAACGTGGATGGAACTGGAGAGTATTATGCTAAGTGAAGTAAGTCAGGCAGAGAAAGACAAATACCGTATGTTTTCACTCATTTGTGGATCCTGAGAAACTTAACAGAAGACCATGGGGGAGGGGAAGGAGGGAAAAAAAAAAGGTTACAGAGAGGGAAGGAGGCAAACATAAGAGACTCTTAAATACTGAGGGTGGGGAAGAGGGGAAAGTTTGTGATGGACATTGAGGATGGCACCTGTTGGGATGAGCACTGGGTGTTGTATGGAAACCAATTTGACAATAAATTATATTTAATATAAAAAAATAAAATCTTAAAGAGAAAAAAAGAGAATATACGCTCTAGTACTGTACCATTAGGTAGGCTGTTTGCTATTGTATTACTTAGTAACAATTATGTTACAGAAAACAGCTTTCGATCCTGAAAAGTTCAGGATCACTGTCCTGTGAACAAAGTCCAGTTCACTGAAAATCTGTTTTTAAAATTAGAAATGGACAGTGAAATCTATCAAATATTTTCACAGCATCTTTTGACATAACTTTATTTTTACCTATTAATATAATGAATTGAAATAAATTTCTTAATGAAGTAGTTCATATTCTAGGAATAAACTTTAGTTGGTTCCATTTTATCAATCCTTTAAACATTCCTGGATTTGATTTGCTACTACTTTAAGAGTTTTATATGTTAAATCTTATTTTCAGTTAGTCAGAAATTATCTTTTCTTGTACATATTTGCTCATTTATTGTAATATCAAGAAGCATTCAGTAGTTTACAAATATTACTGAGCATTTACTATATCTGGAGTGCTATGCTGGCCTTACAGAAAGAATGTGAAGTTTTCCTATCTGCTATCTTACAGTTGTTTAATTATAGAAATATTCTATTCCTTATATGTTTCCTGTTGCTTGCTTGTAAAACAATCTACATCTAATGCATCATTAGCTAAGATTATTTGAGAATTTTCTTCATGGTTATGGAACCATATTTTATAAATCTTAAAATAGTATGTTTCAGAAAGTTAGACATTTCATTCTGATTTTCAAATTTAATATCACACTACTTTCTTGAATAGCTGTCTGTAAATATCTCTTTTTTCATGGTTAGATTTGTAAATGCTCACTGTTTTAATGATCTTTTATAATAACAGAACTTGATATAAGTTATAAATTCTACCTTCTTTTTACAGGAGAGGTGTTCATTACCTATAGCTTCAACCTGCAGCTTCAACATTTGCTTAAGTCCTCTTCCATGCATTTTATTTTGCTTTGCTTTTCCCACCTGTCTAGATTGAATACTTAGTTCATTTGTTTTAGTCTTCCTTTAGTAATAACTTTTAAGGCCACCATTTTTCCTACTTATAGCTTTAGTCACACCATAGATTTTGGCAAGCAGTGGTTGCATTGCTCATTTGTAAATGATCCGTAGTTGCAGTTTTTATTTCTTCTTTGATCCAAGATTAACTTTAGAAAACTTTAAAAACTTCCAGTTAACAGTTTATTGTCGAACTTTTTTTTTTTTTTTTTTTTTAATTCCAGCTTTTACTTGCTTCATTCTTATTCCAGAGTTTGTTTACTTGTTTTGGTCAGAGAATGTAGTCCACAAATGTCTTAACTGGGGAATTTATTGAGAGTTCTCTTCTTAAATCTCTTCATTTACTTATTCACTGAGCTTCTCCAGTGTCTATTTTAGATCAGGAGTCAGCAAACTACAGCAACCAAGAAATTTGGTCTGCCCACCCGTTTTTGTAAATAAAGCTTTATTGGAACACAGCTACGTGAATTCATTTCCATGTTGTTTATGACTGCCTTCTCACTGCAACAGGAGAGATGAGTAGTTGCAATAAAAACCTTAAGGCCAAAAAAAGCCTAATATTTACTATCTCACTTTTCAGAAAAAGTCTATCAACCCCTGTTAGGTGATGGCAGGTCAGGTCAGCATCCCCTGCCTCAACAGGATTATAATCTGAAAGACTTGCAGCTGAAACTGTCTGAATTTCCAGGTATACGTTAAGGTTCCCTTCTGTTTCCAGCACTGGCATTTTCCTCACAGTGATTAGAACATATAAGAAAATAAGAGAGAAAGTAAAAAACATTGGCATATACGATGGCATTTTTATCCTGTAAATCCTAATGATACAAAACTGAATGAATCCTCCAAATATTACTTACGCTTACAAAAAGAATTTCAAAAATCGTTTTAACATCCCTTCTAGAAATTAAGGTCTGTTAAATCAGAGTTCTTGCACAGAACTGAGAGAGTTGGTACTTAGCTTTGTTTCTTTTAAGACTTGACAAGTTAGATGTTTTTCTGAATAGACTTTTTAATAGTTTTTGGCTTACAGGAAATTTAAGTAGAAAGTACAGAGAATTCCCATATACCTGTAAATATTAGTTGAGGGAAACCTCATTTAGGATGGAGTCAGGAAGCCCTGAAGGAGTTTTCCATTACAGCTTACTTCACATTCCTGGGCAGGAAGAATCCAATTTACTATCCCAGCAGATGGAAGATTTTCTCCTTGCCCAGCAACAGCTCAGCCACAACTCAGACGATGGGAAACCATCACTGTTACGTGGAAGCTAGGCATGAGTGACAGGATGATGGACCTTAGACATCTTGATGGAAAGACCCAACAGAGGACTGCCCAGAGACAACCCCATTTCACCCCTCTAGCAGGCTGTTTATGGTTACAAGATCCTGGCAGAGGAAGAGCTACGTTTGTTGTGCTTGCCCTTATTTGACCTATGTCTCTAGAATAAAAATACTGCTGCGGTTTCACAGGAAAGGGTATGCTTAGTTAGCTATTTATTGTATAATCCAAGCCTGTCATTCAAATGTTGCAACCCTAGCACCCACACAAAAGAAAAAAATGGAGTTCTAGGGCCTTTGCCTCTCTTGACTGGCCCTCTTCTCCCTTGGAGTGTACTTTAATAAAACTTTTCTCACTTTACTTTCATTTATCTGTCCTGTAATTCTTTACTGTGGCAGCAAAAAGAACTGAGGCTTCTGCTAGTAAAATAAGTTTTATTTTTTAGGTTAACATCATTAATATTTACTTTATTAGAACTAAAAACCTATAGGATGCTTCAGTGGCTTTTTCATTTTTAGTTTGAAAAGTTGTAATAGTTGTGCCTAAACTTAAAAAGCTCATTCTGGGGAAGCCTGGTGGCTCAGTCAGTTAAGCATCCGACTTTGGTTCAGGTCATGATCTTACGGTTTCTGAGTTCGAGCTCCAAGTCAGGCTCTGTGCTGACAGCTCAGAGCCTAGAGCCTGCTTTGGATTCTGTGTCTCTCTCTGTCCTGCTTCCATTCATGCTGTCTCTCTCTCTCAAAAATAAACATTAAAAAAAAAAAATGGGGGTCGCCCGGGTGGCTCAGTCGGTTAAGCATCCAGCTTCAGCTCAGGTTACGATCTCATAGTTCATGAGTTCAAGCCTCAAGTACCCATGATTTTCCTCTCTCAACTGCCAAGTATATAGTCAGTCTCTCTTCATGGTCCCAGGGCAGCTCTTCCTGATCATAAGTCCTGTCCCAGTGCTTTAATAAAATCACCTTTCTTGCACCAAAGACATCTTCAAGGATTCTTTCTTGGCAGTGGGTTCCGAACCCCACCCCTCCACTCTAAAAAACCTCATGAGGGCCATTTTTCCTCTGAAGAGTTCACACACCCTATAAGAAAATTATCTTGTACAAAATGTAGACTGTGAACACTTCCCAAAGCCTACCAGTAAAAATGAGTTTGGACTATGGTAAACACAAAAGAAAGCGTATCTCCAAAACACAACAGTAACTTCAAAAATAATTGGGAGAAGGGGGTTAGATATCAAATGCTTTCTCTCAATACTCTTTTCTAGGTCATATTTATGCCTCTTCTCATTGTCAATATGATTCACTACTATGATCTTTGCTCTGCTCTGCTACTAAATCGTGAAGCTGTGATACAAAGTCCTGGTCCATGTATTAATCATGGTTTTTGTTTTTCTGTATTTTATAATGCTTTGACATCTTGGGGCCTTGCAGACTAGGAAAGGAACTGCCTCTCAGAGGGTTAGCTAATTCCTAGAGAGCAAACAACTTGGCAGAAGCAGGC